AAGGCGGCGGCCCCCGTGCAGGTGCGTGCGGGGTCGGGATGGCCCCGGCCCTGTCCCCGTGTCCCCTGTCCCCCGTGGGTGTCCCGTCCTGTCCGCAGGCCCCGCGGGGGCCGCGGTGACCCCCACGAGCACGGTGTGTCCCTGGCGGGGCCGCTGCCCGCGCTGAGCCCGCAGCGCCTCCCCTGACCGCGCCGCGCCCCGCAGGAGCCCCGGCAGCCCGTGTCACCCTACGGACCCTGCCACTACGAGATGAAGCAGTTCTTGGAATGTGCCACCAACCAGAGAGACCTGACCTTGTGCGAGGGCTTCAATGAGGCCCTCAAGCAGTGCAAGTACAGCAACGGTGAGTCGGGCCCCCCGGGAGGGGGGGAGCTGCTGTCAGAGCCCTGGGCGGGCTCGGAGGTCACAGAGACGGCCCCGTGAGGTTGCAGTGCCCTTGAAGGCTTTAAGTAGGAAGCAGTTCTGCTCTTCCTGTGTCCCGCGACGCAGAAGGGAACCGGAAAGGGCAGGAGAAATGATCCTGACCGTGTCGCTGTGGCTGTAGGTACTTTCTTAGAGGTTCCTCTCTTGCTGCTCTGGAAAGCTGTCTGCTTTCCCTGTGTGATTCCCTAATTTGTGCTGTGCCTGCTAAAAGCAAATGTCAGTAGTTAGGTCTTGATCTGGTCACTCCAGCTGCTGGAACATGCACCTAATCCTGACCTTGTTCTTTCTCCCCTGTAGGTGTTTCTTCTCTCCTGTGAAGAATCTGCCCCCCCGTAGGGAAGAGAGGAGCCTGGTTTAGAGCCCTGCTGCCTGCAGGGAGCAGGGCAGACAGATGGGATGAGCTTGAGGGGACAGGATGACCAGACAGGAGTCTTCTAGTGGTAATTCACTTCTGGACTAGGAGGGAAGGAATGGTTGGATTTGTGGGAACTTGGAGTTCAGATAGTTCAGTATTTATTACAGAGAAATAAAGGATTTTATTAGGACCTATCCCTTGCACATGTTCTTTACTTACTTCTCAAGCTAAAGTCAAGGTACCAATATGTTAAGTGTCAGCTGCTTAAAGGACAAGGCACAGTTACATATTTCTGCCAAGCAGAGGTGCAGCCCAGCAGGACTGTGCCCGCATGACTTGGCAAAAGTGGATCCACAACTGAGCTGAGCCTGGATTGGCTGCATTCCAGGCAGAGGAGGGGCTGGAAAGGTAATCTGAGATGTGTCCTACAGTATTTTCAGTAACATTCTTTTTCCATCATTATCCTCTTCCTGAAGAGCTGATCTGACCCTGGAGCTAAGAAAACATGACCTGTCTGACTCAGATACAGTTGGCTGATCTTAATTAATAGCCTCAGCAGGTTATGCAATGCTCTCAAGGTCACCAACACCAGGTTAAGTTTGGAGCTGCTTCCTCCTTAGTGACTGTAGCAGAACAGCCTCAG